TGAAAGAACGAGTCAATTGAAGCGAGATCACCATGGAAAACCTGGGAGCACTAGACGGTCGTTTCATCCTACTGAAGAGATTGGTGAAGTGGTTTCTCAACTTCGTGGATTGGTTGAAGTTAGACATTAACACCGTTGGATGCCGGCCGGTTCAGTGGTCTATCGGTTAAGTGCTCGCGCACGAGACTAGTAGGTCCTGGGTTCGAATCCTGCATGTGGGATCGTGGATGTGCATTGTCGAGGAGTCCATATTGGGACGAAACGGTCGTCCAGTGCTTCCAAGTTTTCCATGATGGTTTAGCTTCAATTAACTTACTCTTTCAACTAGGAATTAACATTAAAACATAATGTACGGAATATGGAATCACATAAAATTGGTCATCACTCAGTGAATGATTCATGTAAATAACGTTCAAACTATGATTTTTAATTAAGGTCAATAGTTCCACTTGTATATTGTCTAGTTAATATAAATAAGGAAGGAAGGAAGGAAGGGAATAATGAAGGTAGTTAGTTAGTGAATCAATTATTGTGTCCAGTAAAACTAATGTGGTCAGCATTGTAGCTGTAAATAAATCTCCAAAATCAATAACTCTGTAAGTGTTCGATATTAGATATTGACCATATTAGTTTTAATGGACTTATTTAGCTGTAGGCGCTACATCATTCATCCGTACCAGATCATTTTTTTGGAAGAGCGTGAGCAATATCTCCTACGATCATTAGCCAGATTAGATCAGTTACTTCTTGATATATTGATAACGCATCAAATATACCTTCCAACTTCCTTGCTTCCATCCATCACTTAAACTTGAGATTGAACAAACGATATTCGGGAATCATAATAAGCACTTAACTATCAGAAGCTGGCATTCAGTGATTTAAGCTTTCAATTACAATTATTATTAGCTTTATTCAATATTATATATATCGAGGCAATACGCACAGTATGCATATATGCCAATTAGAAACTGACCAGTTGTAGTCCTAAAAGTCCAATGAGAAGATTCAAACAAACAATACTAAGTGAATTTAAACTTCATCCCATTGTACAAGCAAGTGGCTATCAGGACTCAGTAGATGAGTGAATAACGCGATGGCGTTTGAACGCCGAACAGTACTGGGGTTCGAGTCCCAGAGTGAACATCAACAAGTCTGAAATGCAGGCACATCCAGCTGACGAGTGCCAAACAGGACGAGACGCGCGTCCTGGATTTTGCTGCTAGCCACTATCCATCGTTGCATATAGTACATGTATTTAAATTTTGCAGCTATACTTTTACTGTAAATATCAGTGACATTACCTCAAACTTAAATAAGTGATCTTTCACTTTTTAAGTTCATAAATAAAAGTCAAGCGCTCTAATTATGTACACCTTTTAATTTGTCTATTAAATTTAAACAAGTATAAACAAACTTCATCATTGAGCTATTTAGGCTACAACTGACGTCATATATGACCGAGAAATACATACTAATATTACGTTAATTACGTAAGTGGTCACATTGGACATCTGATCGTCAGAATTCGACCTACACTAAAGGGACTAGACAAATCAACCTGTTTTCAATATCGGTTTGTGGAGATTATTATGATTTTGATTGAGATCATGAACCAATTGATATTAGATCACTATTAAAAATCTGGAACCACTGGACGGTAGTTTCTTTTTATTGTGGGACTCCTCAGTAGTGCACATCCACGATCCTGCTAGCGGGTTTCGAACCGAGGACCTTCAGTCTCGCGCGCGGACGCTTAACCTCTAGACCACTGAGCCGGTTGGCATCCAACGGTATTAATGTCTAACTTCAACCAATCCACGAATTTGCTCGACCATCGGTCTGTGATAAATATATAAAAACATTCACTTTTATATTGCCTATATTACTGATTATGGCACTACAAATAAAAATATTGATTAATCTAAGTTGTCATGTTTGAGAGACGTAAATTCTCCTCCTGACTATAAATAAAGAAGGTCCGGTATTCGGGTTCTGCGTGTGGGCTCATGGATATGCACTACTGAGGTATCCCCATACTAGCATGAAAAAGTCATCCAATGTTTCCAAGTTTTTAATGATGATTTAACATCGATCGGTTCATAACCTCAAACAATAAATGAACATATCATATTAGTTTTTTTATTTAGTATATATATATCAACATTCTGCTGATTTCTAGGAGTACTCGGAAATTACTGCATTCTGATGTGTATACATGTATATGTTACTTACTTACTTACGCCTGTTACCCCCGCGGAGGAGCATAGGCCGCCCACCAGCGTTCTCCATCCAACCCTGTCCTTGACAATCATTTCCAGTCCCTTTCAGTTGTTATTTATCCTTTTCATATCTGCTTCTATTTCCCAACGTAATGTGTTCTTTGACCTTCCTCTTTTCCGCTTCCCTTCCGGATTCCAAATTAAAGCTTGCTTCGTGATACAGTTTGGTGATTTCTTTAATGAATGTCCTATCTACTTCGAACGACTTTTCCTAATTTCCTCTTCAGCTGGAAGCTGGTTTGTCATCTCCCATAAAGCGCTGTTGCTGATAGTATCCGGCCAATGAATGTTGAGTATTTTGCGTAGACAACTATTTATTAATACTCATACGTTCCATCGTATGAGTTTCGGATAATTTTGACAATCTTCTGAGTTACTCTATAATGTCAAAGAAGTTTCTATAATGTTCTCTTATCCAAACTGTCAAACGCCTTCTCATACTTAATGAAGTTGATGCATAACGACGAATTCCACTCAACTGATTGTTCCACGATGATCCATAGTGTCGCAATTTGATCTGTGCATGACCGATTCTTACAGAATCCATACATGTATATGTACACTTAAGTATAAATCATTCATCAAAAAAAGAAAATGTATTGGCTCCTTTCTTATGGGACTAGTCTTCCTTTTTTTGAAAGAAAATTAACTCATACATGAATACACATGCACCATAGTGTATATATAGACTAAACTAAATACAAACAAACATATAAACTAGTATACAATATATACTTACATTTACTTTAATTTTCTCAGTTGTTAGTGTACTGATCAGTGTGTGTTCAGTTTTCTTTATGCTCATTTAGTGTTTTTTTTGGGGGGTGGAGGGAAGAAGAGGAACCTAAGAAGAAAATAAATCAGTGATATTTTATGGCCTTGTTGAACTCTACTGGTTACTGATACTCACTAGATTCCATTATCTACTTCATGGAGCCAGTAACTAGTGAGGATATGATCATTATCAGAATGGGATTTTGTGGAGATTTTTATAGTTTGATATAGTTGAAATCATAAATCAATTGAAGATAGACCACCATGAGAAATCTGGGATTACTGGATGGACGTTTCGTCCTGGAGTTCTAGTGAGAAGCAGTAACCAGTGGAGCCCAATCAGGTCTGTTGGGAGATATCAATCAACTCACTGAGCATATTTTATGGGCTATGGAAAAAAGAATTCAATTGATCAGGAGCGTATTTGTTAATATTATTCAAGGCTCGTTTTTCTTTACTTAGTAACTAATGATCATTAATTTAATGGTAATTATTATATAGCGGTAAATAAATCCCCTAAGATAAATAATTCTGTATGTCTTCGACATTCGATGTTGAAGATACGACAGTTATTCAGAGCTTGACAACGCTTTGACCAGTAACACCTATTATGAATCGTTTCCATCAAGTGAAACCAAAAGACAGAAGCCATGAGGTTCGAAGATATGTTTGATAGGTTATCAATATATCGTGGATCGACTGATCTAATGTGGCTAGCAGGGGATGTTAAACACGGCGTTTCCACTCGTGATCTGGTGCGCATGCATGACCGAGTGGCTTCAGCTATGTGAGTCCATTAAAACGAATGTGGTCAGTATCAAATGTCGAAAACTTACAGAGTTATTGAGTTTGGGGATTTATTTACCGCTACAATATTGACCACATTAGTTTTGCTAGACACATGTATCTGAAGGTGATCACTCACGGATCGACACCAGATGACGAGTAGGTATGCAGTGCGACCTATCTATTAGCTTAGATTAAAATCTTCCCTGCAATGCTTATCGTAGAGATAAAATTCCATGTACTCACTTATGGGTAATATCGAGTGAAATTTCCCGACATCTTAGTAAGGAGCTATGACTAATACAGTTCAATTATATTGGATATGAGACATTTACCTAATAATGAATGAGAATATAGTTGTATGACGTCTTAGTGTTCCAAAACGTTTGTAGTCACATAGATATCCAAAGGTCCAAAGTTCAATTTCTGGCGAAATTATGGATGTATTTTGATGAGCGATCCCATACTAGGGTGAAATAGTTGGTCAGTGTTTTATAGTTTTCAATAATTCGTTCAATGGATGTCAATTTGTAATGTAAAAGCATAAAGATTTGACAATTCCGAGACTGATAGGTCCTGGGTTCGAATCTCCCAAGGCGAGATTGTGGATGTGCAATGCCACTCAAGAGTCCCATGGTAGGACAAAACGGCCGTTCAGTGCTTCTACGTTTTCCATGGTGGTCTAGCTTCAATTGACTAATGATTTCAACTATATAAAATTACTAAAATATTCACAAAACCACCTTCTGATAATTCCCATGTTAACACATGCACACCTTATACAAGGATATAGATTCCTATCGTCCTGTGAATCCTGAATGATTTGGCCTCTTCCAAACATGTTAGTATTGCAGTATTTCAAAAAAAACATAAACCAAACCAATCATTTGTTTGAATTCACTTGGTATTGTTTTCTTGAATCTTCCCATTAACGTTTAGGGCTGCAATTGATCAGTCGCTTATTGGCATATGTGCATCCTTTGCGTATTGCCTCGACATAGCCTTAATTTACAAACATTATAAGCAAAGATGGATGTGATAGCGTTTGAAATGAAAGGTACTGGGTTCGAGTCTCAGAGTGAACATCAACAAGACTGAGATGTAGATACATCCAGCTGACGAGTCCCAAATAAGACGAAACGCGCGTCAAACTGGATTCCACTGATAGCCACTTTCCATCTTGGCTTGCAACCATCTTGTTCACAAGATTTTCAAAAGGTGTACTCCAGAAGAAAGAAATCATTTACAACCTTAAACCATCGAAATGATTACGCAATTATACACCAATCATCGCAACCATCAACCTCTATTATTTCAACAATTTGAAAGGCACGTAATTATATAAGAAAGAATTGTCTTTTCGGAATTGATCTAAGACCAAAAAAAACCCAAATTAGATTGTGTAATTAACACTGAATTGTTGTTTCTATGACATAATTGTCAAGTCATAATTAATATTATCTAAATGATTGTTGATTGAACTAATTACGCCTTTGTCAATCTCTCGCTCGCTCGCTCAGCTGAGAAAACATGATTTGATTGCTGAAGAAGTTGTTGAGTCATGACCGAATTGTTGGCATCTAAAAGTCAATATGTATCATTATGTTGTTTTGAAGAAACATTAGTGAAGGGTGGTTTTCGATGATGATGATGATGATGATGATGATGATGATGATGATGATGATGATGATGATGATGATGATGATGATGATGATGATGATGATGATGATGATGATGATGATGATGATGATGATGATGATGATGATGATGATGATGATGATGATGATGATGATGATGATGATGATGATGATGATGATGATGATGATGATGATGATGATGATGATGATGATGATGATGATGATGATGATGATGATGATGATGATGATGATGATGATGATGATGATGATGATGATGATGATGATGATGATGATGATGATGATGATGATGATGATGATGATGATGATGATGATGATGATGATGATGATGATGATGATGATGATGATGATGATGATGATGATGATGATGATGATGATGATGATGATGATGATGATGATGATGATGATGATGATGATGATGATGATGATGATGATGATGATGATGATGATGATGATGATGATGATGATGATGATGATGATGATGATAGGTTTTGACCAAAGGAGTAACTTAGAAACGCCTCAGTTAGACCTGAATGAAGTTGGATAAAAAACTTAGATGACGACATGAAACTTTTTCCTTCTATTACTAACTTATTTTAAGGTATAAGCAGAGATAGATGGTTGCTAGCAGTAGAATCTAGGACTATTTAGGATTCGTCACCTGGATATACCTTCATTCTGGAGTTGGTGTTCACTCTGATACTCGAACCCAGTACAATTCGCCTTTTAAAGTATAACGTATCACCATCTCTTTCTATAATTAAATAAATTTTTCCTCCCAATCATCGTCCCATTCTGTCTTCTCAAATGTATTGTGAAAATATAATCAGAGTCCTGTTCTGTATTTATCTACTCAATCTCAGTTATATCCAATTGACTTGATTAGAAAATCAATCTGGACATAAATTATAGTTTATCATACGGTTATCATCATTTGAATACCAGAAACAAAGAAACCTAAGAACTCCCAAATGATAATCAATCCATTTCTATTTTAGACAAAACTTTGTAGATTGATTGAACACCCTTGGATTCCGGCTCAGCGGTGTGAAAGTTAAGCGTTTGTACTTTGTACTGAAGGTCCTGGGATTAAGTATTGTGAGTAGAATTATGGATTCGCACTATTGAGTAGTCTCATACTGGGACCAAATGGCAGGTCAGTGCCTCTAGGTTTTCCATGGTGGTCTAGCTTCAATTGACTGATGATTTCAACTATAAAATTACTATAATATCCACAAAACCCCATCTGATTATAATGATATGCTCACTAGTGACTGAATTCAAGAGGTATTTCCTGGAGGTCTAGTGTGAAGCAGTGACTAGTGGAGTTCAACCAAGTCTGTTGTGAAATATCAATTCACTGACGAAAATGGTGAATGGTTGTTCAATTTCGTGAATTGGTTGAAGTTAGACATTTACACCGTTGGATGCCAGCTCAGTTGTCTGCAGACTCGTGCTCGAGACTTATGGGTTCTGGGTTCGAATCTCGGGAGTGCGGGATCGTGAATGCGCACTGCCACTGAGGAGCCCCACAATAGGACGAAATGGCCATCCAGTGGTTCCAGGTTTTCCATGTTGGTCTATCTTCAATTGACTCATGATCTCAACTATAAACCTCTTTGATTTATTTGAAAAAATTGTATAAAACTAACCATTTTCTTCGAAAAAAAAGTTTTTCTTTTCTTTTTTTTTTAAACTCAAATATCTAATTCGAGTTAATTACAGGGGTGACATTGAAAAATGTCCATTGAAATCACAACAACACCCACAAAAACTCAACTTTTCAATGATTTTCAACTGGGATAACACTTGTGTGTGTGTGTAGTCTATTAAGCCGATTAACCCAACTGTCGTAACCGAATATAGAAGAGTAAATAATGAATGCCTAACCACACTTTTAATGTCAACAAACGTATAATTAAGTTATCACTAACACACAAAAAAAAATCTTTTTTTTTCTTTTCTGACAACTTTTCAGTCAACTTGATGAATGATATAAAATAGATCAATAGAATTGATCAAGATCTCATTTTAAGACGTTCAAGTTTAAGATGATGATTATTGAAAGTAGTCAATAGGATATCCTGGATCTAGGTTTTGTACTAGTACTTGGTCCACCAGAGTGTTTGGTACCTGAGTGGTTGCGCCACAGGATTGGGCCGACCTGTTCGGATTGTAACTTTGAAGCCTTTATAGTGTCTGGTTCTCCTGTAGTGCGGGATTGAGCTGTACTGTTTGGGTTGCCTCGTGAAAGTCTGGATGGTATCTGGTTCACCTGAAAACCAGTGCAAGATTACCCTCGCCCACAAGGGTATATAACTGTGTGAACTAACTTGGTATTTGTCAATAAGATGTACAATGTAATCTTGAAGGTATTGATGCCCCCTACCGGATTCAATCCCATATCATCACTCAGTGATCACCAACATCAATAGAGTATTACATAACACTTCAGTATTTTAGACATAATAAATAAATGTCAGTATTAAGATATTTTCAAACTTGGTATTTAACATAAGGACACAATTGATCGTTACTTACATACTTAATTACTTACGCCTGTTATTCCCAATGGAGAATAGGTCGCCGACCAGCAATCTCCAACTCACTCTTTTCTAGGCTCTCCTTTCTAGTTCTATCCAGTTGTTGTTCATTCTTTTCATGTCTGTCTTCATTTCTCGGCGTAATGTGTTCTTTGGTCTATCTCTCCTCCTTTGACTTTTAGGATTTCATGTGAGGGCTTGCCTTGTGATACAGTTTGGTGATTTCCTCAATGTGTGTCTTATCCACTTCCAGCGCTTCTTCCTGATTTCTTCCTTCACTGAAATATGATTTGCTCTCTCCCACAGTAGAATGTCGATGATAGTGTCTAGCCAACGGGCCCGAAATATTTTCCGTTGACAATTGGTAATAAACATTTGCATCTTCTGGGTGTTGCCTGTCTTGACATTCGTATTGAAAATTCTGATTTTGGTGTTGGTTGACAGTTGTCTTGAGTTCCAGATGTTCTTCAATTGTGGATATGCTACTCTGGTTTTGATGATTCGCGTATTCACATGTGCATCAGATCTACCGTGTTCATCAATGATGCTACCCAGATATGTAAAAGTTTTTACATCCTTCAAAGCTTCTCCGTCAAGTGTGATTTGATTGGTGCATATTGTGTTGTATAGGAAAATCTTGCCTTTTTCTTCGTGTATGTTGAAACCTAATGCTGCTGAGGCTGCTGCTAAACTGATCGTCTTCTCCTATATTTGTTGTTGTGTGTGTGATACAAGAGCCACATCGTCTGCGAAGTCTAAATAGTCCAGCTGCATCCTAGCCGCGCATTGTATTTCGTGCTTCTTTCCAGATGTTGATGCCTTCATGAACAATTGATCGTGAATTGAATAAAATTGGAACTGATAAAGATTCACTGATGAGTATTAATTTCAACTGGGATACTAAAGTGGTCATATTAAAAATTCAACTCTCAAGGTATATGAGAATGAACTTAGTTTAGTAGAGTTCTGAATTACTTATTGAAGTAATTACTTCAATCAAAGAAGTCTTAGTGATAAACTGTCAAATGAAACATTTCAATGTATATTTTCATTCTTTCCTTTATACTCGTCACATGAACTGTCCATTTTACAAACTCATATGTTATCGCTATCACTTAAGTCTTATTGAAGTTAGTCAACGGCTCATTGTAGTACACAAGGTCTATCATACTCTATGTAAAACTGTAAGAATAATCTTTTAAATTAATCAACAAAATCAAGAGAATTGGATTAGAAATTTGTATATGCCTTGTAGACCATCAACGTTGATAACCTATGTCGAATGATTGGAGGCCTACTCTTATTTATTTATTTATTTATTTCAATACATAAATATTGGTACAAGGAAGCACCAAATACATATACGCCGCACAAATCTCATTCGATTTGTGTGAGAGCTATGATACTGCCCAGATGCCCAAACTGAAGTAGGTGATTTTCTTAGGGGGCCACACCCCAAGCCTTTGACCTAAAAGTCTGATCCACAAGGCAGTGGAGCATCGTAAGGAGATGTAGTCCCATGGTAGACGGTGACCAACAACAGGTTCGTACGCCATTTGTTCCCTCAGTATACTGAAGCCAGCCCATGTGTACCATTGATTTGGAATCAGGGTATCCAACTCCCCTAGGTGGATCCTCTATATCCACCAACCCGGTTAAAGCGCCGGGCATTCGCTTTTCGTCCTCTCAATTTCGTAAACAACAGTTGTGCCACGAAAAGGCAGTGAGTAGGACTTCCCTGGCAGAGGCTATATATTCGCGTGGCCATGTGAAAGCATTTGGAGAGGGAGAGCAGACTCTCCCCACTCTCGGCCGTACCAGAGCATTTGGGGGCCTACTCTAGTTATACGAGAACGGTGTAACGAACAAGGTACCTTCGAAGTCACACTTCGCGATCAGTATCTTACGTGGATTGCCTCATTGACACATCAAAGGACGTTATTACAGGAATATATTAGTTAAAGTAGATACAAGCGAAAGTAGAACCACTGCCTCATGGGCCAGTCTATGGTGTATGATTAACTGACGCACGTTGATTGTCTTTTACCTTGGTGGGGATCGATTATCTGTGTAATATTTAGTGACCCAACTTCCGGATTATTTGACTCTACAGCCTTAACGTAAAGCAACTCATCAATTGAAACATCATTTGTTTGTACAAAAAGAGACATGTTCAATGCCTTGTTTTAACTTAGTCTTAACAACCCTTTGAATTGTACAAGTGTTGATAACAACCTATTCTAATAGTTGAAATTATAAGTCAATGTATGTTAGACTACCATTGAAAAAGTGAAAACATTAGACGGCTGTTTCGTCCTAGTATACGACCACTCAACATTGCCCATCCATGATCTTGCATACGTAACCTGATCATATCCATCAAATGAAAAAATTATACCAGTACATTGCTTTTATAAATAATAATTTCTTGTGAACTATAGTGTCATTGATTAACTTATGTACAATGCTTGGAAACTTTTGTAAACTTTGTTAAGTAACGCATCAATTCTCTATCTTAGTACAGGTTACTACATGAAAAATTGATTATTACGGTAGTACAACTTTAGTAAAAAGTAAGCAGTAATGGATAGTGGCAAGCAGTGGAATCCAGGACCCGCGTTTCATCCTATTTGGGTCTCGTCAGCTGGATATACCTGCATTTCAGAGTTGATATTCACTCTGGGACTCGAATCCAGTATCAGTCTCTTCAAACACCATCGCGTTATACACTCAGCTAAGAGAGACTGATCAATTGCAGTCACAAACATCAATGTGAAATTTCAACCAAACAATACCAAATGAATTTAAGCAAATAGTATTATCAAAACAAAAACACACATGTTCTTTCAGTTGTAAGACTTTGAATCTTCTTATTCTTTCAGTTAAGAACTGTCAATCATCAGTGTCGTTTTGTAAATGCGGATCTTAAATGAACTGCCTTGATATTACTATCAGTCAGAAATATATATATTCTTAAACAAGGTTAGATTATAGCTAACAATGAAATTCAGGGGATACTTTACATCCTACGACTTATTAGCTTAATATACTTCTATTTATATTTATTTAAACACATAAATATTGATCAGAAGGGATTTTGTAGAGAATTTAGTATTTTCATAGTTGAAATCATGAGTCCATTGAAGCTAGAACACCATGGAAAACCTGGAAGAACTGTTACATGGCCGTTTCGTCCTATTGTGTGACTCCTCAGTGACAGTGCTTATCCACGATCCCGCACTCATAAGATTCGGATCCAGGACCTAACAGTCTTGCGCCAGATTACTTAACCTCTAGACCACTGAACTGTTTGGCATCCAACGATGTTAATAGTCTTAGTAGAACAATGACTGTATACATGTGACCATATGAGAGCATTTCTAGAAAGAGAGAGAGCGAACTATTCACACTCAATTAAAATATCTTATATGGATAGATACATATCATACCCTTAAGTTATCTTCAAAGGTTATCGACATATATCCATGGTGATTACAGCTCACTATGATTATTATGTATCCATTTGATCCTTTGCACTGTATATATATATTCGATTGATTTTTTGTTTTCTTCAATGAGTACTATTCATTAAAGTGAATATTTATCAAAAAAATTGGATCGATAAAATGTAATCGATAGAATATGACTCATGAAAATAGTAGAAAAAAATTAACCTTGGGAACTAAAATAAACATGTAAATTCAACTTAGTATTGGTTTGTTTGAATCTTCCCATCGATGTGTTTAGGACTGCAACTGGTCAGTCTCTAATTGGCATATGTGTATACTGTGCGTATTACCTCGATATAGTCTTAATTCATAAGCATGGTTAGCAGAGATGGATAGTGGTTAGCAGTGGAATCCAGGACAAGGCGCGTTTCGTCCTATTTGGGACTTGTCAGATGGATGTACCTGCATCTCAGAGTTGATTTTCACTCTGGGATTCGAACCCAGTACCCTCGCTTCAAACGCCATCGCGTTATCCACTCGGCCACTGAGTCCTGATAGCCACTTGCTTGTGCGATGGGGTGAAGTTTAAATTCAACTTAGTATTGTTTGTTTGAATCTTCCCATCGATGTGTTTAGGACTGCAACTGGTCAGTCTCTAATTGGCATATGTGCATACTGTGCGTATTACCTCGATATAGTCTTAATTCATAAGCATGGTTAGCAGAGATGGATAGTGGCTAGCGGGTTCGAGTCCCAGAGTGAACATCATCTCTGAGATGCAGGTACATCCAGCTGACGAGTCCCAAATAGGATGAAACGTGCGTCAAACTAAATTCCACTGCTAGCCACTATCCATCTCTGCTAGAATAAACATGGTTTCAAACATTAATCTAATTAATTATTGAATATAGTAGGATTGTATATGAAGTGATGAGGTGTAGGTTTTAAGGTTTTAAAACGAATATCAATGTTTGCATCTAAGTATATTAAGGTAGTAAGTCAGCCGATGCAAGCCGCTTTGCCTCTAAATGTCTTGGTATGGCCAAGAGTGGGGGGGGGAGAGTCTACTCAGATTTCCATATTAAGATAAAACTACTGTCTAGTACTTTCTGGTTTTCATTAGTTGTTAAATCACATTTATTTTGTGAAGTGAAACTATGAAGTCGTTTAGTATTGGTTTGTTTGAATCTTCCCATTGATGTGTTTGGACTGCAATTGGTCAGTCTCTAATTGGCATATGTGCATACTGTACGTATTGCTTCGACATAGTGGCCAGATCCAGTTGCAGTCCTAAAAACATCAATGGGAATATTCAAACAAACAATACTAAATGAATTTAAACTTTACCCCATTGCACAAGCAAGTGACTATCAGGACTCAACGGCTAAGTGGATAACGCGATGGCGTTTGAAGCGAAAGGTATTGAGTTCGAGTCCCAAACTGAACATCAAATATGAGATGCAGGCACATCCAACTGACGAGTCTCAAATAGGACGAAACGTGCGTCAAACTGAAATCCACTATCCAGCTTTGCTTACGAAATTGTGAAGGTTTCTCTAGAATATCCTTATCAGAATATAATGATGTCATCTGAAGAAAAGTAGTGAGACTGGTTCTTGGTTGCCATATGGTATTACAAAGCATAAAGCATACATAAGCTTCCGCGAAATAAAATCAAAACATGGGTATTGGAGTGGTTATAATACACAGTCTAAATGAACATTTTATTATTCGACTTGATGAATTTCACTGTATATTAGTCCTCTAATGATTTAGGCATTAAATTATTATTATTACTCCTTGCATTTGTCGTAGTACTTCGTCAAAAGTTCTATTCAGATCTCAATAAGCAGTAAAATCGGATTGTTTACTTATTGTCATTGATTTACCAATTATCATAGTTAAGAAAATTAGTTAAAGTCCAGCCAGGCTTATTTCAAAAGGTTTGGGAATAAGTCATACTAGACTCGTCAGACAAGTGTCCCAGTAATCTTGAGGGAAATGGTAATTCCTGGGGGATTTGAACCAGACCCATTCATCTTCACCTTTGAAGACACCTACACTTAATTATTGGTGCTGCAATTGACCTATTGTAGCACCAAGATAGTAACAAATAACTGCTTTCAATCAAGTAACATCTTATCATAGTGAACGTGGTACCGAACATGTTTAAACATGTTCGTCAAACAAACATGATATCAATTACTGCTCAATGGATAACCAATCGCAAAACATACTCTGGAACTGATATTTTTATTTAAACACATAAATATCGGTACAAAAGGGCATCAAATATATATGCGCCACACGAACCTCATTTGATTTGTGTGAGGGTTATGATACTACCCAGGTGCCCAATTTGAAATAGGTGGTTTTCCCAAGGGGCCACACCCGTAGCCTTTGATCTAAAGATCTGATCCACAAGGCAGTAGAGCATAGTGAGGAGATGCAGTCCCATATTAACCGGTCACCAACGATTTGTTCATACGCCATTTGTTCCTTAGGGATCCTGGAGCCCATGTGCACCATCGGTTTGAATTACGGTTTTCCAACTCTCCTACGTGAATCCTCCGTATCCACCAACCCTGTTAGAATGCCGGACATTGAGTTTTTATCCTGTCAATTTCGCAGACAACACCTCCGCCATGAGAATGCAGCGAGGACTCCCCTCGCAATAGCTGTTTACACGTGGCCGTGTGAGAGCATTTGGACAGGGAAGGTAGCCTTCCCCACTCTCGGCCCTACCAGGGAAGTTGGAGGCAAAAACAAGAGAATCATCTAGAGACCAAATCAAGAGTCGTTTTGACAATTCATAAACATAAGTTTCGTCTCTTTTAATCGATTAAAACGTACGATCCAAAGAAGTTTTAGACTGGGACGAAACAATGACTTTTAATTTTCCCAAAGTTGATCTCGCTTTCAATGATTACAAGATGAATCTATTAAAAATAATGTAAAGAATTTCAATTTCCTTACGTAAGGTTAAAGATAAGTTATAGACTAAAAACTAAGTTAAGATAATTGATTATGCAATAAGATAAGTATCTTCAATTCATGACTAATCATACTACACTAACAAACACACACACAAACACACCAAAAAAGGCATATGATGATAATCAATGAATAACACACATTGTGTTTGGGATAGATTTTTCGAAATTTCTCATGGGGTTCAAATCCGATTAGATAACCATTGTTCATTTTAAGGAAACAACTACTGTCTATTATCTAATCTAATCTAAAGCTTTATATATAAGAAAAGTTATCTATACCTTAACAATGGATCTCATCAAAACAATTACATAATCACAAAGAAACTGTACAAACAGATAAATGACAACTATTCGGCCTTATGATAATAATGATGAAGATGATGACGATGATATTAGTTGTATCAAATGTTAATTCCTTATGTTAATCATCGACTTTATCATCTTTTAACTTTTCCATAACTCCAATAATTATATTTCATACTCCCCTATGAATGATAATTTTCCAAAAACTTTTTAACCAATCAAAATACAGCTTTTGATAATCATGATGATGATAGGGGGTGGAGGTGATGATAAGGATTAATTTTAACTGAATTAAATAAAAAAAGGAGGGGGTGATCAATTAATCCACTATTATGGGGAATATATATGAGAAAACACATTCTGATTGGTTAGATGATTTATGTTTGACCTTGTTAAATTTGAAAAAAAAAATTTTTCAATCATAAAAACTGAAAACTGAAAATGTTTTTAAATTTTATTGTCCACTTATTTATTATTATCCTTATTATTATTATTATTTTATCTCCTTTAATCCCTAATTGAAAGTATTGGACTTAAATAAACAAAATGGTATTTGAAACCCATGATATACTAAAATATTTATCTAATATACAAACAAATTGGAATACAATGAAAACCACAGATACATCATTACAAGAATTAGTTACTAACCATATACAAGAGGATAGATCATTACGTAATACGATATGTCATACTACCGGTCAGATACAATCAAGACAAGGTATCATCAACTTGTTGGCCGATAGTAAACATGATGATTTGATACATTCTCCTGATGAATTTACACATTTCCCAAATAATATACAAATGATTATTAATAAAACATGGAAAACTTATTATCAACAAAATGATAATGCTGCTGAGAATAAAGAAAATATTGATTATAATAAAACAAAATTGTATTCAACTTCAGCTATATGTACTTGTCAAGCAAATGATTCAATAATATACCCTAGTTGTTCAACCACTAGTTCAGATTCAATCATGGCGAATCAATTAAAGAACCAACTACAAAGAACATGTATAGAACATCAGACAAAATTAAGACCTCGACCATTATTAAGACAAAAAGAGAATGATGAACATTATATCAATGATCTATTAGTTGAAAGCAGGTTAGTTACATGTCAAAATGAATTACAATCAACATCGAATACCCATAGACCAATGCAAGTACATATGCGTTATCCAATACCAAGAAAACAAGATGCTATATATAATGCAAGATATAAAACTCAACCATGTTTACATTATCAAAAATATAAACATTGTCCATTAGGTGATAATTGTCATTTTGCTCATGGTCCAAATGAGCTAAAATATCCACAATTTCATCCAAAATATCGTACAAGAATATGTATGAATTATGCAAATAATGGTACATGTCCATATGGTAATCATTGTTACTTTTTACATTTTACCCCTATGTCATCAACTCAAAACAATAATACTACTACTAATACTAAAATCAATAATAATAGAACTGTTGCTAAGCAATGGAATATTGATCATTTTATACAAGATGATAGTAATATAAGTAGTATCAATAATAATCATCATACGGATACTATGATATTGAGTTCGAACTTGAGGCGAGTTACCATTTAGAAAAAAAAACATAATACCTCCCTATTTAATATTGGTTTTTTTTGTTCTCTTATTGCCAAGGTATTTATTTTGTTTATCCTTTAAGCAAGTTATATATATATATATATACCTTTCTATTATCCTTATTATTATTTAAGATGATAATTAATATTAATTTAAATTAGATTAAAAAAAAATTTGGACAATAATTTTTGTTACTACTTATTTTTTTTCTATCAGTAGTACTGTGACACACATACACACACCTTTGTGTTTGTCTTCCAGTAAAACACTTTTATCGGTCATTGGGACCCCAATTTCTTTTTTTGTTTAGTATCTAAATTGATTGACAGATCGATATTTCTAAACCCTTTTTTTGGAATTGATTTACTCATTTTTTTTTACTCGTTCATACTACCTCTACGGTAACGGTGTTATACATGGATAGATCATTTGAATTTGATAATAGTAATAATGATAATAATGGTAACACCGGTACAATTTATTCATAATAGTTTATTTTTTCCATTGTTGTCAGGTCAGGTTGTTTCTTCTCCATCTTTTTCTTTTTTTTTTGTAATGTTCCCATTTGTTTTTTTGTGATCTGTCCATCTTTTATTATTGAGATATATTTATAAATACGTTTTGATAGCGATATTATTTTATGTCATCCTATTTTTTATACGAATAAAATTAGTCTTATACAATGTCGGTGTTCTTTATAGGATCATGTTGATACAGCGACAATAAACTGTGACTGACGTCAGTATCACTGTTATTGTAGTATTTATTGATTCATTGAAATACATTGGTACAAGGAGGTACCGATTTGATATGCCTGGGTGCCATACTTCGAACCGAAGGTCTAGTCCGAAAGGCAGTGGAACAACTTTAGGAGATACAGTCTTATAGTACCCGTTCCTTCGGGATCCTAGAGCCCATTTACACTTGATTTGGGATAAAGGTTTTTTCAACTCTCCCAGATAGTTCCTCTACACCCACTGACCCAGTTTATGTGTCGGACATTTGCTTGTCATCCTCTCAATTTCGTAAACAATAGTAATGCTACAATTAGGCAGTGAGTAAGACTTCTTGGCTATGATCGTATACTTGTGTCATTGTCATAGAATATGGAGAGTAGAGCAGACTACTTCAGCCGAACCAAGATATTTGATGTCCCTAGTAATGTAGTATCGTAATAGTAGCTTCATAGTGTTCACTTGATCATATCACTTAACAATCTCTAATTGGCAATATAACATAATCCGCTCAGGTTAGATATGTTTGAGGAATCTTGTAAATAATGAGTGCTGTTCTTTTTTAACTAATTAGAATCTTAAAATACAGTAATGTGTGCCAAATTTTGTTTGCTAAACATGAAGTTAATGCCATTACTTGTTATTCATTACTTGGTGGTGATTGTGACCTTCATTTTTCAAATAGGTCAAATTAGTTATCCATACAAGTTGAATCTTGTATATTTTCCTCAAAAATGATTTTATATCGATCACTGATTAAGTCCATCCCACTTCATTGTTTTTGATATAGATTTTCAATATTGAAACATGAGAGTATTCAGTATGCATAATGCATGTCGGTTTAATCATTGAATCTAGGTATGTGATTCATCCAGCCGACGAGTCCCAAATAGGACGAAACGCGCTTTGTTGTGAATTCCACTGCTAGACACTATCCATCTTAGCTTACCATGCTTGTGAATTAAGGCTATATCGAAGCAATACACACAGTAAGTACATATGCCAATTAGAGACTGATTAATTACAGTTCTAACACATCGATGGGAAGATTTAAAACAAACAATACTAAAGGAATTTAAGTATGTGATTGCCTAAACTATTTCAGTATGTTTGTTTCATTACGTAAGGAGTAATAACAAGAAAGTGACCCTGTGATATGTTCTCATATAATGACCAATAACCAGCACATAAATCAATCGTTTAATTAAAGAATTAGGATAACTAAAGTTAATCCGTATTATAAAGACATTTGCGTGACAACATGATAATCTCTTATTGGTGTAACCATGACAAAACATCAAAGGTTATAAGTTAATCATTACGTTGTTTTGGTTTGATTCATGCCTGAATACTTTTCTTTCTTTCTTTTGTAGTCCAATTTTGAGGATAATAATCTTGTCTTATTGATTAGCTGTGATAAATAGGATGATTTTGTAGGTTAGTGAATAAGTTTATCCAGATTACAAATCAAGATCATTGGGTCTTTAAACCATTGTCATCGGTCCTCATGAATATCATGTGACTTAAATTAATCCTAACGAGTTTCTCATACTGTGAATATCTCAAATCTTTCAAGAGGTATCAGAAAACGGAATTGGTACTGAATTTATGTAGCATATAGTTACAAAGATTCATATACAATCCCTCAAGGTTGTATCATGTCAGACAGGTCGGTTCAAGTCATACTGTTGATTGTACAGGAATGTAATCACAGTAAGGTGTTTCTTTCGGAAAACCAGCATAACGGTGATGCTGTCTTCCCACAAGGAGGGGTGAGGATAGAGAAAGTCGGCCGTTAAAATGCACACCTCACCTTATCCCACGGATTTCCTGCTCTGGCAGTAAGGTCCCAACAAATAGGGAGCTAACACGAAAACTACTCACAAAAAAGTCGTATGTGATCGGCCTGAAACAGTTAGTTGTTCCGTTAGCACTGTGGTCACGTTCTTAGGTCATCAAGACCAACTCTAACCCAATTTCCTTTTCAGCTACCTCTAAAAGAACCCTTCCACGGTTTTAGCGACCGGGAAGTGATAACCACCCTCATACCTTTAACAACACTGATTGACTGATGAAAAAGTAAAGACCGTTATTCAATATATAGTAAATCCCTAGAAATCCTTTTTCTAATTTATCTCAAGTTTCCAACTGCATTTCTATAAGATAATTATAATATCCGTCAATTGAATAGAAGAATTCATTATGGAAGATTATTAAAGTAGTAAAGAATGAAATGTCACTGTTCTGAGTGAATTTCACTCTCAATTTTCGTATGCAATTCTTTAGATTGGACGTACCCGAGGTGCAGTGTTTTATAATGTAGGAGTAGGTTAGGAGAATGCTAAGAGCAGCCAGATCAAAACGTGGTACAAATCCATGAAGTCACTGACAATTGGACTGAGCCATGATGGTAGGTGTAGACTGCCCGGTTGGGATCCGCGAGATAATAAAAATTGATGTACGTACGTACGAAGTTCTACGTTGTGGCTGACTGACTGATTTGTTAGTGTTTCTGACATCAACATTTACAGGCACGATTTCTTATTATTATTTGTACTACAGATCCTAGTATTGTAACATTATCATATTCATTCATTGATCATATGTCCTCACGGGACTGATATACATAACCAGGTTGGTGGATATGAAGGATTCATCTAGGTGAGTTGGAAAACCCGGATTCCAAACCAATGATCTACATGGGCTCCAGGATCCTGACGGAACAACATATTGTTGGTCACCGGCTACTATGGGACTGCATCTCTTTACGTCGTTCTACTGCCTTATGGATTAGATCTTCAGGTCAAAGGATCGGGGTGTGGCCCCCTTAGAAAACCACCTACTTAGGTTCGAGCACCCGGGCAGTATCATAACCCTCACACAACTGTGGTGCATATATATTCAGTGCCCCCTTGTACCAATATTTATATGTTCAAATAAATAAATAAATAATCTATCTTTGATTTCGAAAAGAAACAATATCGATTTCTGTACTCATCTACCATTTTCATATATTTCACCTAAGAATGAGTAAACTTTTGAACAGTTTTAATCCTTCCATATTACAGTCTCTCAATATTATTGTATTGTAATGAACGGTAACACAAATGAGGATAACCGAATGTATTTGAATAATATAACATTATAGAATATCTTAATAAAATCTGGGAACCATATAGAAAATAACCATCAATTGTTTCGGACTTTCTAGTTTCTTCATTTCCATATCGACCATTCTCTGTTCTCATTCTCTTCTCTTCGTTCTTCTCAACCTTCTGTCCCTAGGCATTTCACTTTCGATTGATGATACATACTACTTATATCTGTGTGATGTAAAGGCGAGGATTGGCAAAACACGGACAGTATTTCTACAATTGAAGAACATATGGAACTCAGAACAACCGTCAAATAACTTCAAAGTGAGAATCTTCAATACGAAGGTCGGCACAGTCCTACTGTATGAAACTGAAACATGGAGAACTACTACATCCATCGTCAAGAAGGTACAAGTATTCATAAACAGATGTTTACGCAAAATACTCGACATTCACTGGCCGGATACTATCAGGAACAGCGTTTTATGGGAGAGGACAAACCATATTCCAGCTGAAGAGGAAATTAGGAGAAAATACTGGAAGCGGATAGGACATACATTGAGGAAATCATCAAACTGCATCACGGGGCAGGCGCTGACTTGACATCGTGAAGGCAAACAGAAAAGGGGAAGGCCAAAGAACATATTACACCGCGAAATAGAAGCAGATATGAAAAGGATGAATGTTAACTGGAAAGAATTGCCGATGACAGGTTTGGGTGGGGAATGCTAGTGGGCGGCCTATATTGATAAGTTTCTTATTTTTCAAAGTTGAAATCATGAGTCAATTGAAGCTAGACCACCATCGAAAACCTGGAAGCACTGGACGGCCGTTTCGTCCTATTATGGGACTCCTCAGCAGTGCGCATCCACGAACCCGCTCTCGCGAGCGAGATTCGAACCCAGGACCTACCAGTCTCGAGCCGAAGCCCTTAACAGATAGACCACTGAGCTGGCATCCAACGGTGTTAATGTCTAACTTCAACTGATCCACGAAGTTGAGCAGCCATTCACCAATTGTCTTCAGTGAGTTGATATCTCACAACAGACGCGGATGAACTCCACTGGTCACTGCTTCCCACTAGAACTCCAGGACATGTATCTTGAAGTCAATCACTAGTGAGCATATGATTATATTTAGAATGGGGTTTGTGGAGATTTCAGTATTTTTCAAAGTTGAAATCATGAGTCAATTGAAGCTAGACCACCATCGAAAACCTGGAAGCACTGGACGGCCGTTTCGTCCTATTGTGGGACTCCTCAGTGGCAGTGCATATCCACGATCCCACCTCACGGGATTCGAACCCAGGACTTATCAGTCTCGCCCACGAGAACTTAACCGATAGACCAGTGAGTCTATAATTTGTAAAAGTGTATAATTCAGTGTAAGAACGAGTGCTTGGTATCTCAAGTATAACATCTTATAAAATAATCATATTAGCAGGATAACAAATAACACTACACTTTCTAAAAGTTGAACAGTGGTTAGCAACAGAATCTATACAGCGTATTTCTTTCTGTTTAAGACACATCAGTTGGATTTGCTTACAGCCCAATGTCAAACCTAATGCCCATATCAGAACCCACCTATACTAATAAAGATTGATCATTGTCAATCCTTAACATCATCAATAGGATGATTCAAGCCCCCTAATTAATAGATCGTGGATCTTTTGTCACATTTCATTCTATTTTACATTGATCTTATACCGATGCCCAAGTGTTAAATCAAAACAATAGTCAACACACAACTTAGTTCTATAGTGTCATTCATTTTGGCAAGATTTAAAGTAATAGGGATATGAAAATTAGATCCAATTAACTTACTTTAACCAATTCCCACCCCATCTCCT